AGGGGAGAGGATCGCGGCACAGGTCTCCCAGGAAGGTCAGGCGGCCACCAGGGCCGGCAGTGGCCGCGCCCCTTCTCGCATCATCGAGTCCATGGAGTCCACTGGGAGGTAAGCGGGGCAGAGCTGAGACAACAGGGGCGCAGCAGTGCTGGCCAGGCTGAGGCGGGACGCGGCTCCAGATGGGAAGGTGTCGGGTGTGGGGCAGAGCACAGGCTCAGGCCTCAGGCCCACCTTCCAGGCAGGCGGCTCCCTCTGCTTCCCCGCCTGCAGCTTCCCTGTAGCCTGGTGCACCCAGTGTGGGCACCGTGATGGGCACACCTGGCTGACGCCAAGCACACACCCTCTGCCACTGTGATGCCCCGAGTTGCTCCAACCTCCTGAAACAGCATAACCCACGGCCCACACGGCTCACAAAAGGCTCGGCAGGCGGCCCTGCAGCTCACTAGCATGAGACCTAACCTTCTATCCTTCCAGCGCCTGCTGCAAACACTGCCTTCTCCCATCACAACCCCAGGCACAGCCCCTGACCCGTCAGCGAGGGTGAGCATCCCACCGGCTAAGCTCAGCAGATCTCGGGCGGACACTCTGCCCACAAGTCCTCACGAGGCAGCCAGCCATGTCCAAAGCGGCCAGACGACCTGCTCTCCTAGGAACCCACAGGAGGCTGAGTCTCATCGCCCCCACATGGGCTGGCATTCTCCCTGCACACGGCCAGGCAGGCTGACAACCCAAAGCAGGTTTGCAGGCCCTGGAGAGGCCTCACTCCTTCTGCCAGCCCATACACATTTGAGGGCCTACTGTGTGACAGAAAGAATGCCAAGTACAGAAATTTGCTAAGAAGGTAGCAGAGGGTTCTGTGGGACAGCGCCTTTCATCAGGTGGAGGGAAAGGACTCCAAGGCCCCGGGGATGCTCATTCAGGCTGGTGCAGGTGATGCCGACAGAAGAAAGCCAGAGGCCTGGGGGAGCCCAAGCGTGGCAGGTGCAGCAGGAGGGCGACCGTGGCTGGGGCATGGTTTACAAAGGGAAAGGGGCTCGCTCCCAAGTGCAGCTCCTAATGGGGAGAAGAGGTTGTGAAGCCGACTAAGCTTTACAAAGATCAAGCTGTCTCTTGCTTCAGTATGGAGAACACTAGGGGTCAAGAACAGAGGCAGGGCCCCTAGCCGGTTTGGCTCAGTGGATAGAGCGTCAGCCTGCGGACTGCAGGGTCCTGGGTTCAATTCCAGTCAGGGGCACGTGCCCAGGTTACAAGCTCAATCCCCAGTGGGGGCATGCAGGAGGCAGCTGATAGATGATTCTCTCTCACTGATGGCTCTCTCTCCCTTCCTCTCTGAAATCAATAAAAATATATTGGGAAAAAAAGAACAGAGGCGGGGGCCTGGGGAAAGGAGGTAAGTGGTGGCTTGGACGATGGTAAGAGTGATGGGTGTGATTTGCAGGGCACCCCAACAAGGCTCCTTGGGCCCAAGATCTGCAATGTTCCTCACATACACAGAACAATGGCAGCCGTTGGAAGTTATATTCCTGCCCGGCCGGCTGGCTCAGTGGTTGAGCATCAACCTATGAACCAAGAGGTCCCATTTCGAGTCCTGGTTCGATTCCCGGTCAGGGCACATGCCCAGGTTGCGGGCTCCATCCCCAGTGTGAGGCATGCAGGAGGCAGCCAATCAATGATTCTCTCTTATCATTGATGTTTCTCTCTCTCTCCCCCGCTCCCTCTCCCTTCCTCTCTGAAATCAAAAAAAATATATTTTAAGAAAAGAGAAAGTTATATTATATTCTCAGAAAATGCTTAACCCAGGGAGAACAACTCAAGCTACAGTGAATGAAGAGAGGTTAAAACATATCCAGTGTGCTCCCAGGCCTAACGCGTCTGGTGGGCATGTGACAGGCCGTCTCTCGAAGAAGACAGAAAATGATGGAGGAGTTTGCTGAGTGGGAGGAACCACAAAAGATTTCCTTTTTCCATTTTCTACAACGTATATTTATGCCCCATTATTACAAGGAGGGAAACAACTCCTTTAACAGAAAGACTTCAATCCTGTGTTAGGGAAACCAAGAGCCAGGGAGGACGGCGTCTGCTCCGACTCCCCAGCCGCTCTCCCGGCGGCGAGGCTGTCGGATGAAGAGCCACACATCTTCACGGTTCTCTACAGGCTATCGGCTACTACGTGGTCTGCTTCACAGATAAATGTGCTCAGATAAAACCCTGTTTTCCAGTAAAACCTCCTTCCTCCTCCTGAGAGTAAGCCTGTTAAGCGTCTGCCAGATGCAGCAAATGCCTGGCGCACTGCAGCACTGCCAGGCACCTGTGGTCCAACGAACCCACGTAAGACATTCCACAGCCACTGGAAGGAGAGCAACCAGGGCGGGGTTTGGATACCCACATGGAATCTGCAGTTGCGCAAGAAATGTACCCCCAAACCGTCATTCTTCACTGAACGGTCAGACTCGCATTAGGCTTGCTGGGGGGTTATGAAGAGTATGTGGGAACCCACAAACTAGAAAGAGCTTGTGAAGTGAGCAGCATCTTCAGAAGCGTGACCACCTCTGCGATCAAGGCCACCCTGACAACAAGCCACGACCTGCAGAGAAGGGGCCAACAGGGAAAAGGAAGAGCACGGCAGGTGGGTGCGGGTGGGCTGCCGAGGTTCAAGGAAGTGGCATCATCACCCCTCTTGTGTCTGGGGGTGTGGGGCCTTGTAATTTCCTCTGAATCGTGAGAGATCTGGCCCTTGAAGAAAAAGGGTGCTGACCTCTGCTCTAGAGATGCTCACAGTTTGAGAGGGACACCCACGAAGCTTGAGGCATGGAGAGGGGCACGGAATTTGTGGCCGTTTCTAATCTAGATGCCAGGGCTGGGGGCAGAGAGGGGCAAGCTGTGGGTAAGGACCGACGAGACTGTTCGTGCTCTGCCCAGTGGCGTACAAGGCAGTGTTGCTGTGCAGTTTCCAAGTCCAGGCCTGAGGAGACTGGCACCTCCCACGTCCTGTTTCTTGAACCACCTAATCAAGAAGCCCACCTACTGCGCCATGAGGAAATCCAAGCGGCCGTGGGCAGGCTTGCATGGGAAGGCACCTAGAACCCTGACCAGCGTCCCAGCGACGCTCCCTGCCACCAGGGAGTTTGCATTTTTATTGACTGAATTAGCGTAAATCATGCATGAGCCATCCTGGAAGCGCAGCCTCCAGCCCCAAGGAGCCACTCCAGCTGGTGCCATGGGAGCAGAGGGAAGATTCCCAGATGAGCTCTGAATCCCTCGATTCCTGGCCACAAACGTGGGAGCAAAACAAATGGGTTGTTTTAAACTACTAACCTTTGGTGGTTTGAACACACCAATAGGGAGTCAGAACACTATGTGTATGTACAAGTCTAAATGCAATACAGATATAAAACTACCTTAACCAAGTACAGATATTTTTTTAAATTGGCTAGCGTTTTTGAAATATTTTTATTGATTTCAGAGAGGAAGGGAAAGGGAGAGAGAGAGAGAAACATCAATGATGAGAGAGAATCATAGATCGGCTGCCTCCTGCACGCTCCCTACTGGGGATGGAGCCCACATCCTGTGCCCTGCCCTGACTGGGAATTGAACCGTGACCTCCTGGTTCATGGGTTGATGCTCAACCACTAAGCCATACCAGCCAGGCCTAAGTATAGATCTTAAAATATTTTCAGTTTATTTTCAAGCCACACCTCTAAGGAATGAATGCTGTAGATCAGGGATAGCTGTGAGCTAAATCTGGCCTCCGCTACCTGTTTTTGTACAGCCCAGGACTAAAAATAGGTTTGTTTTCTTGCATTTTCAAGTAATTTAAAAAAATCAATAAGCAAAACAATAGCATTCCTTGACATGTGAAAATCATATGAAATTCAAATGTCACCTTCTGTGTCCATAGTGAGTGCTATTGGAGCACAGCCACGCCCACTCACTTACAGACGTCTGTGGGTCCCTGCCCCACACTGGCAGAGCTGAAGAACTGTCAGAGAAATCAGAGGGCCCATGACGCCTAACATACCATCTGGCCCTTGAAGAACAGGGTGCTGACCTCTGCTCTAGATGCTCACAGTTTGAGAGGGACACCCACGCACCCACAGGGCCACCACGCCCACTCACTCACGATTCGGAGGAAATGACCAGTTCCCTCCACCCCCCCGACACAGCGTGGTGCTTCCGCACACAGAAGAGTCCTGTGCTGCCCGATCCCCACCCCGGGTCGGCCACGGTGCTCTTCCTGCCCTGACACGGTCTCGGATCCCCCGTTTTCCCAACTGCTTCCCAAGGAGATGGGGCCAGGCTGAAGTCTGGGTACTAATTTTGGTTCCTAAGTGACCAAATACATTAGTAAACATAGAACACTAAATTAGAGCGAAACTCCTCTATTATTCATACTTCATTTTTAAAAAATAGGTTCAAAGCATTTAAAAGTTCTGTAGTTCTTGGGTTTAACCCCATGGTAATGAAAGACCCTTTCCTATACACAGGCCTTTTTCCAACAAATCCCTATGTTGATGACCTAGAGATCTTCAAGAGCACACACAAAGGCTTCTTAGTGCTGACACCCTCAAAACGGAGTAAGGCCCGGCCGGGTGGCTCCGTGGCTGAGCGTCAACCTATGAACCAGGAGGTCACGGTTCCATTCCCAGTCAGGGCACAGGCCCGGGTTGTGGATTCAATCCCCAGTGTGGGGCGTGCAGGAGGCAGCGGTCCATGATTCTCTCATCATGGATGTTTCTCTCTCCCTCCCTCTTCCTCTCTGAAATCAATAAAAATGTATTTTTTAAAAACAGGAGTAAGAATAAAGGTTTAGGATGCTATTCTGAGATATATGGGGACCCTCTTATGAACCTCAGTGACTGTTCCCCTCTTAAGGGACAATAAGTAGGTTCTGGAAAAACTGAGCTCAGCATTGCTGGAGCAAAGAACTGAAACACTGAAACCTTGAACTATAATGGAAGGCGATTAATTCTTCCTCATTTACTCTTCAGATCCAGTCTCACCTTGACGACTTCTCCATCAGAAGCAATTACGTCTGTTGGAATGGTCACTCGAAATGAGCGCCCGACGACAGCCGTGCCATCAGGAATGCCAGCCACCGTGGGGACAGCCTCCGGAAGGTCTGAAAGCACCGAGTGCATGGATGCCTCCAGCTGGTTCTCCCAGGCTCTGGAGGCCTCCGAGGGTTCACTTGGCCAGTGGGACTGAGTCATGGCCACGCAGAGCAGGAAGAGAAAGGTCCGCCCCCCGACGGGGAGCAGCAGCAAAAGGCCCACAGACATCCTCCTCCAGGTGAGTCTGCTCGAGCCGGTCTCACGATGAGAGGAAGTCAGTGACGTGGCCCCGAGCTGGGTCCTCACCCCCTGCACGCTTGCGCCATTCCAGAGTGCTCAGCCTGGAAAAGAAGAAGAGCGTCTCAGCCTTCAGCGATCGCATGGTTTCAAGGCTGTACACAGGCAGTTACTACCCCGTAACTGTTGTACCAGAAACATCGATCCTGAGCTGGCTCAAGTCTCATCCTGCGCTGTCCAGTATGGGCCGCCAGGCGCAGGTGGCGACTGAGCACTGGAAATGTGGCTTGCCCTGTAAATGTTAAGTACACACTGAATTTTTAAAAGTTCACATAAAAAAGAAATGTAGAGCCCTGGCTGGTTTGGCTCAGTGGATAGAGCGTCGGCCTGCAGACTGAAGGGTCCCGGGTTCGATTCCAGTCAAGAGCACATGCCCAGGTTGCGAGCTTGATCCCCAGTGTGGGGCGTGCAGGGATTCCCTCTCATCATTGATGTTTCTATCTTTCTCTCCCTCTCCCTTCCTCTCTGAAATCAATAAAAATAATAATAAACAAATTTTAAAAAATGTAAAATATCTCATTAATACTTTTAAAATATTCATTCCATATTGAAACAATATTTTGGAGATAAATATATCAATATTTATAAACTAGAGGCCCGGTGCATGAATTCGTGCACCAGTGGGGTCCCTCGGCCTGGCCTGCACCCTCTCGCAATCCAGGACCCTCGGGGGATGTCAGAGAGCCGGTTTCGGCCCGATCCCCACAGGACCAATCCAGGCAGGAGGGAGCCCGATCCTGTGCGTTGAGTGTCTGTCCCCTGGGGGTCAGTGCGCATCATAGTGTCCGGTTGACTAGTTGTTCGTTCACTTAGGCTTTTATATATTTATTTATATATATATATATATATATATATATATATATATAGCAAATAATTTAAAAAAAACATATTACGTTAAATATATTATTAAAGCCCTGACCGGTTTGGCTCAATGGATAGAGCGTCGGCCTGCGGACTGAAGGGTCCCAGGTTCGATTCCAGTCAAGGGCATGTACCTTGGTTGTAGGCGCATCCCCAGTGGGGAGTGTGCAGGAGGCAGCTGATCGATGTTTCTAACTCTCTATCCCTCTTCCTTCCTCTCTGTAAAAAAATCAATAAAATATATTTTAAAAATATCTATATATCTATATATCTATATATATACATATAGATATATAGATATATAGATATATATAATTAAAGTTAAATCCACTTCTTGTGTTTATTCGTGTTTTGGACCTATGTGGCCCAGGTTCCATTTCTGTCGGGCAGTGCTGCTCTGGACCTAACTTCCACGGGACAGGAAACACAGGAGTCACGAAGACACAATCAGACAAACCCAGGATGTGGGACCTTCTACAGGACAACTGGCTTGGCTTGTCCAAATGCCGACCCCTACACACCAGGGGACTGGTCTCGATTTAGAGACTGCAGCCAGGTGCAGGGCACGCATCTTTTTTTTTTTTTTTTTTTTTAATATATTTTATTGATTTTTTACAGAGAGGAAGGGAGAGAGATAGAGAGTTAGAAACATCGATGAGAGAGAAACATCGATCAGCCGCCTTCTGCACATCTCCTACTGGGGATGTGCCCGCAACCAAGGTACATACCCTTGACCGGAATCGAACCTGGGACCCTTCAGTCCGCAGGCCGACACTCTAGCCACTGAGCCAAACCGGTTTCAGCAGGGCACGCATCTTGACTAGATCCTGGATTTACTTCAAAAACAAAAAAAACACACAAGTCTAGCTCGCAAGGTGTAACTGGGGAACATGCAATGTGGGTTGGAGAGAAGTACTGTTAATTCTCCTGGGGGAGGTGATGGTGGTGTGTGCCTCTAACAGATGATCCTCGACTTCAAAGTACTTAGGAATAAAATATCCAAAACCTCTGTAACTCACTTTGAAATGGCCCAAGGGGGAAAAAATGCTTGTGTGTATAGGGAGAAAACAATGTAGTAAATGGAACAATTGTTAAGTCTTTAAAAATAGTTTTGAAAAGACTAGAAAAGTCAAGTATTTGCACAGAGACGCAACAAGTGCTCAGTCCTCACACCCCAGCACTAACCACAGGACTCACTTACTAGACATGCACTTGCAGACTCAGCGCCAGTGAACAACACTTGCTTGGCCTCTCCTGCCCTCTTCCCACCACTCCCCCCCGCACCCTCCCCCCCTGCCAACATCATGACAGAACCCTGCATTCTGTCCCCTCTCCCCAGGCCGGCTTCAGGCAGCTCGTGACACCTGCTCTAAGGCTGGCAGCCACAGGTGCATGGTGGGACCTGCTGGGTGCACACAGGTGAACACAGCCATCAGGAACGAGTTCCCCTTCTAGAAAAGGAGTAAGCTCTGCTCTGAGCCAAGCTGCCAAGGGACCAGGTGACGTATTTTTTGACCTGGGTAATGCAAAGTAAAGAAAGTTGCTAAAGAAAACAAGGCCACTGAAATAGGCAGTTTACTCTAAAGTTAATGCAAATCCAAGCCAATTCCAGGATTTTTTTTGCTATTGATTTTGTTATTCTGGTTATTCTGTTTTTAAACTAAAATTCATGAAACAGAGCCAAAGCCCAAGAAAGTAAAACAATTTTGGAGGCTGCGCACCCTATCATACCAAAGGCTTATCCTAAAGCTACTGTATTTAAGGCAGTGGCTCACGGAGAATATCCAGCTGGCTGCGAGTGCCCCAAAACCAGCTGCTCCTCCCTCACTTTTCCATCACAAACATGATAAATCCCAGGGGGGATGAGATACACAAAAGTAAAAAGCAGAATTTAAAAAAATTTTAGCCGAAACCGATTTGGCTCAGTGGATAGAGCGTCGGCCTGCGGACTGAAAGGTCCCAGGTTCGATTCTGGTCAAGGGCATGTACCTGGGTTGCGGGCACAGCCCCGGTGGGGGATGTGCAGGAGGCGGCTGGTCGATGTTTCTCTCTCATCGATGTTTCTGACTCTCTGTCTCTCTCCCTTCCTCTCTGTAAAAAATCAATAAAATATATTTTAAAAAAATAATAAAAATAAATAAATAAATAAAAAATAAAAAATTTTAGGCCCAGCCAGTGTGGCCCAGTGGTTGAGCATCAATCTATGAACCAGAAGGTCACAGTGCGATTCCCGGTCAGGGCACATGTCCAGGTTGCAGGCTCGATCCCCAGTAGGGGGCATATGGGAGGCAGCTGATAGTGTTTCTCTCTCATCGATGTTTCTAACTCTCTATCCCTCTCCCTTCCTCTCTGTAAAAATATCAATAAAATATATTTTAAAAATAAATTAAAAAAAATAAGAAGTCAAGAAGGCAGGGCAGGAGGGGCCTAGGACTCAAGCAGCGATGGTGGGTTCCCTGGGCTTCCCTGTTGACTCATATGTCCCAGAACCAGAGCTGAAGAAGCTGGCAACCCAGAAATGCCAACGGATGAGACAAGAAAGGTCCCAACCAAAGTCTGCTCTCTGGCTAAAAGCAGGAGGGGCAGCCGAGCAAGACAGACAATGTGTGGACAATAGCAGCTCTCGTAGCCAGACACCACGGGGGGGCCACTGGGCTCCGCTCCCACCCACCAGCAAAGGCCCCGTGGGGAACCTAGACTTCCGCCCTCAGGAGGCTGCGACATGGCGCCCGAAGACCCCACTGAGGCCACTTCGGAAGCGGCCACACTTCGACCTCCATCCCCACCGGCCAGCAACAGCACGCTGCCCTCGCCCTCCTGCTACCCTAGCCCCGCAGGAAAAGTAGATTTCAGAGCAAAGAAAATCACCGAGATAGAGAGGGGCATCATATGATGACAAAAGGGCCAACCCACCAAGAAGACTAACCCCACACGTATACGCACCAAACACACAGCTATGAGCTATGTAAAGTAAAAGCCGATAGAACTGAAAGGAAAAGACAGAAAATCCACAATCCTAATTGGAAACTTCAATACCATCCTCTCAACAACTGACAGAACCGGAAAGAAAATCAGCAAGGAAACAAGAGAACTCAAGAGTACCACCGATCAGCATCCCTCGCTCTCCACCTGACAGCAGTGTTCGTGGAACACGGACCCAGACAGACCATAGCTAGAGCCACGAACAAACCTCGACCAATTTAAAGACGTGAGATAATACTGAATGTGTTCTCCAACCACAAGGAATCAAATCAGAAATCACCGGCTAAAGGAAAACAGGAAACTCTCCAAACACTTGAAAACCATACAACATACTTTTAAGTAATCCTGGGTCAGAGAGGAAGTTCAAGGGAAATGGAAAACTGCACTACACTGAATAAAGATAAAAACAGGTTTGTTTCAGAACAACTAAAGCAGTGCTTAGAGGTGAACTGATAGCACTGAGTCCAGCAGGGAAAAAAGGAAAGTCTCAAACCAGCAATCTCAGCTCCCACCTCCGGCACCCGAGAGAAAAGTAAACGCCTGGCAGGTGTGCCCCGCCGGCTGGAGCCTGGTCCTCCGTGCGGGTGGGGTCCGGTCAGGGCACATCCCTAGGCTGCGGCTAATACCTGGTTAGGGCGCACGTGGGAGGCAACAGATAGGTGTATGCTTCTCTCTCTCCTCTCCTCTCTCTCTCCCCCTCTCTCTCTCTCTCTCCCCCCCCTCCCTCCCTCAACCTCCCTCCCCCTCCCTCTCTCTAAGATCAATTTTTTTTAAATGTTTGTATTGATTTTAGAGAGAAAGGGAGGGATAGAGAGAAACACTGATGCTAGAGAGACACATTGTTTGGTTGCCTCCTACACACACCCTGGTCAGGGCAGGGATCAAACCTGCAATCAGGGTCTGTGCCCTTGGCCAGGACTTGAACCCACAACCCTTCAGTTCATGGGCCAACGCTTTACCATTGTGCCATACCAACCAGGGCTGGTTTAATTTTTCTAATATTCTTGAAGTGACAAAATTATAGAACTAGAGAATAAATTAGTAGTTGCCAGGGGTTAGAAAGGGAATCCGTCAAAAGGGAAGCCGGTGGGCTGTACCAGGGCACTGTGAGGCAGCCCGTGCCGATGCGAATGTTGTGTGTGTGGCTGTATCAGTGTCAATGCCATAGCTGTATAAGATGTTACCAGGGGGCAAACTGGGG